GAAGAATATAATTTGAATTATGCACGAAGGGGTGAATCGGAGCAAGCACACCTCCAAGAAGGAACGAGTGTGTCCCATCCCTCTTGTTTCCCCATGTTCTCGTGATGGCAGAGGTTGCTGTAGAAGCAATGGACCATTTTCCTAGTAGCCCTTTAATTAAACTGCTCCTGCTTCCTCAGCTTCCTGGAGGGAGTCGCAGCAGCCCTGAGCTCTCTTCACTGCACCCCAAGCAGGACCATGGAAATCAGATTCCCCTGGAAATCTGTGAGGGTGCTGACTCACAGAGTTGCACAACTCCATTCTGTAAGCATGGCTATCACTTCCCCTGGCAACCTGCAGCAGCACCTGGGTGAGAGGCCAAGTGCCATGGGCAGCCACAATATCAAGGGGGCTCAGCCCTGTCCCAGTAGCCTGATCTGCAGACTGTTCTTTTCCATTCCGTCCACGCAGGACCTCTTGAAGGCTGAGCACAGCTCTCTGCCAGCCCATCAGCTGGTGTGTGCCTCCCTAACAGGAACGATCTTCTGGAACCTTGCACACCTTCTGTTACCCAGTTCTCATCCACTCACTGTGCCAGGGCACTTTACCCCCTCCCCACACTTCTGGGACCATCCTTAATGTCCAATTCAGAGATCTGCAATCAGAATTTAAGAATCTACAGAAGCAACTTCCCTGATTCCTTGAAAGCAATGAAGAGGGTCGCCTCTTCTCCCAGCCCTGATTCCAAACCTGTGTGACCAGTCAGTTCTAGAAGCATAGTGCCAGGCCCTGCTCCTGTCTTGCTGGTCATGCTGGGTCCCTTCAGCACCACAGGGGAAAGCACAAGGGTGCACTCACTCCCTACTCACTGCTGTCACACTGGCTCAGCCTCCAGATCTTCCTAAGGGTGCACGGGGCAATCTAAGCAGCCAATTTAAATAACTCACTTGAAGAACGAACTTTGCTTTTGTCACAGTTGAACATTCCTTCCAGATAGCGCTGCTAATGAGCAGAGGAAGCAGACAATGTGTGCACTCTGCTACTGGAAGTCAGTAAGTAACACATCATCCCCAGATGCTCACTGGGGGGCACAGGCTCAAAAGAGATCTTATTTTATTACTTTTTCAGTTTATATTTTGAAATATATCTTATGCACGGATATTACAAACATTAAATATGAATAATAAAATGATTTCGGTGTGCCTTCTGTCAAGCTAAGAAACAAAATATTATCCATATTTTGGCTGGATGCCTCCTTCCCAAATCCTTACTTCCTCCCCCTCACCAGAAGCAGCCTTTGTCATGCTGTGACTTATGTAGGTACCTCAACTCATGTACAGCTCAGTCTTGTACGTTTTGTTTACCTTGTGTAAGCTGAGCAGTATGCATACCTCCTACAATTGTGTTTTTAACACAGTGGTTCTTGAATTTTGTTGTGTATCAGAATCACAGAGGGAACTTAATAAAATTACCCAGGCACAGCCCTGTCCCGGTTCAACAAGCAACGTCTCTGTATTCTCCAGGAGCTCTCCAGATAACTGTGATACTCAACAATGTTTAGAAACTACCGGTTACACATTAAGATTTTCTGATTTATTTACAGTGATGGGTGCAGCTCTAGTGCATTCATTTCCAAAGCTGTACACTATCGCATTGTATGGCTATACTACAATTTATTCACCCTATTGCCGATTACCATTTGAATATTTTGTTTGTTTGCTCTTACAAACAAAGCTGCTAAGTACATTTTTCGGTGTATGTGTCTCGGTGCACTTGTATAAGAATTTCTCTACGGTATATATCTAGATTTAGAATTCACTAGATAATGCCAAATTTTCAAAGTGGTTATACCAATATACAATCACACGTGGTTAAGGGAGTTTCGACTATTCTGCAGCTTGCCTGCACCTGATACTGCATGTCTTCCTAATATTTGCCAGTCTGGTGAATATGAACTGAAACATTGTTAGATTTTAATTTTCACTTCCCTAATTCTAAACAGAGTTGAACATTTTATGAACAATTTATGTTTCTTTTCCTGGATTTGTTTTTGTCCAGTTTCCATTGGGTTGAGTCTCTTACATACTGACTTGTGGAACTTTTTTTTTTTTTTTAATTCTAGTTACTAAGACTTTGTCACATGCTACAAATATCTTTTCCAGGGATGTTTGGTAGAACTAGTCATTAACCCATCTAAGGTGGTTCGTTCTTTGTAAAGAGGCTTTCTTGCAGTCTAGCATGTGGTCAGTTTACATGCAAGTTTCATGTGCATTTGCTGTCCTGTTGCTGGTTTCCGTGCTCTATTTTTAGGTCCTTTAGATCAGGAATCTGTCTATTTCTCTTTG